GGGGGAGGGTCGGGAGGGTCAGAGGGAGAAGCAGACTCCCTGCCGAGCAGGGAGCCCGATGTGGGACTTGATTCAGGGACTCCAGGATCATGACCTGAACCGAAGGCAGTCGCTTAACCAACTGAGCCACCCAGACGCCCGGCTACTGTAGCTTTGTAACATAGCTTGAAATCAGAAAGCATGATGCCTCCATCTTTGTTGTTCTTTCTCAAGACTGCTTTGGCTAGGGGAGCCTGGCTGGCTCAGTTGGTGGAGTGTGTGACTCTTGAACTCTGGGTTGTGGGTTTGAGTCCCATGTGGTGTGTAGAGATTACTTGAAAATAAAATCTTAAAAAAAAAAATACTGCATTGGCTATTTGAGGTTCTTTGGTGGTTCCACACCCATTTTAGGGTTATTTCTGTGAAAAACACCATTGGAATTTACATAGGGATTACACTGAATCTGTAGATTGCTTTGGGTAGTGTGGACATCCTAGCAATATTCTTCCATTCCAAGAGCATGGAGTATCTTTTCACCTATTTGTCTTCAATTTTTTTCATAAGTGTCTTATAGTTTCCCTTTTGGTTAAATTCCTCTTTTGTTCTTTTTGATGTAAATGGGATTAAGAAATTTCTCTGATAGTTCATTGTTAGTGTATAGAAATACAACAGATTTCTGCATATTGATTTTTGTACCCTGGAACTTTACTGAATTTTATTAGTTTTAACAGTTTTTTGGTGGAGTCTGCCTTGGATGCTTTCTCCTTTTCCAAAGCCTAATTGCTCTGGTTAGGGCTTCCAATACTAGGTTGAATAAAAGTGAGGAGTGGGGTCCTTGTCTTGTTTCTGATCTTAGGAGGAAAAGCTTTCAATTTTTCACTGAGTATGCTGGCCGTACACTTGTGATACATCACCTTTATTATGTTGAGGTACATTCCTGCTAACCCTTTGTTTTGCTAACCCACTTTGTTTTTATAATGGATGTTCAATTTTGTCAGATGTTTTTTCTGCATCTAAGGTGACCTTATGATTTTTATCCTTTGTTAATGAGATGTATCATGATGGATTTCCAGGTATTGAGCCATCCTTGCATCCCTGGAATAAATCCCACTTGCTTATGATATAGGATCCTTTTAATGTTGTTGAATTTGGTTAGTATTTTGTAGAAGGTTTTGCACCTAGGTTCATCAGGACACTGGCCTATAATTTTTTTGTGGTGTCCTTTTAATACTAGGGTAATGCTGGCCTTACATAAAATGAGTCTGAAGTATTCCCTCCTCTTCGATTTTTTGAAGAGTGTGAGAAGGATTGGTTAGGTATTAGGTAGAATTCACCAGTGAAGCAGTCTCATCCTTAACTTTTGTTTGTTGGGAGGTTTTTGATGACTGACTCAATCTCCTTACTAGTAATTGGTCCCTTCAGATTTTCTATTTCTTCGTGATTCAGATTTGCTGGTAGTATATTTTTAGGAATTTTCCCTTTCCTCTAGATTGTCTGATTTGTTGTACTCTTAACTGTTCATAGTAGTAGTCTCTTAGGATCCTTTGTATTTTGGTGGTCTACCAGTTTTAACAACTTATGTTTGATTTTGCGTCCTTTTTCCTTAGTTTTAAAACGTCAGTTTTCACAAGAATAGTTCTTAGATCCATTTTAGTTTCTATTTCATGTATTTCCACTCTGGTCTTTATTTCCTTCCTTCTACTAACTTTGGGCTTTGTTCCTTTCTTTGTAGTTTCTTGAGGTGTAAAAGGTTGAGCAGGCATTGAATGCAGTGAACTTCTTTTAGGACTGCTCTTGCTATATCCCATAAGTTTTGGTATGTTGTGTTTCCACTTGTTTCTAGGTATTTTTTCTTTTTCTTTTATTTGACCCATTGGCTGTTCAGTAGCATGTTATTTAATCTCCATATATTTGCAAATCTTCCAGTGTGCTTCATGTAATTTTCCAGTTTCATACCATTGTGGTCAGAAAAGATACCTGATACTTTGATTTTCTGAAATTTAGACTTTTTGTGGTACATGTGATCTATCCTGGAGAATTTCCCATGTGTGCTTGAGAAAAAGAAGTGCGTTCTGTTCCTTTCAGAAGGAATGTTCTGTATATGTCTGTAAAGGCCAATGTTTCCATATTAACTTTGTCTGAACGGTCTATTTATTGATGAAAGTGGGATATTAAGTTCTGCTGCTACTATTGTATTGCTGTTTCTCCCTTTAGGTCTGTTAACATTTGCTTTATTTATTTAGGTGCTCCTATGATATTTATGTTCTATCCTCTTGTTGGACTGACACCTTTATCATAATGTAATGTCTCTTTTTTCTTTGATCACGATGAATACCATGCTGGGGGAAAGAGGCATCCCACTTTTAATTTAGTTACTGAACTTTACGAGTAGCACTGAGAACATTTCTAAAGTCACAAACATTAACTGGAAAACAAGTCAGGAAAGAGCAATTCCATTCCTGGGGCACCTGCCCCTGTTTATGGCTACTGTGCAATCTTGGCCAAATCACAGCCTTTCTAGGCCTGGGTTTACCCATCTTTTAAGATCAGAGGATTTTCTTCTAAAATTCCACAAATTACTACCTATTTTACTATTTTACAAACCTGTAGGTTACCTATGACACATGGCATATTTAAAGAATTATTTTTTAAAAACCTCTTTATTATCCTCTTCAAGAAATGCAGTAGGAGCCCTAAACACCACACACTGAAAAGGCAAACGCAAAGACCAGCCCTGCTTGTGCTGCCGCCATAGCTGAAGAGGAATGTCTGGCAGTAGGAAATAATGAAGTTTGTTTCAGTCACTACATGGCTGTAGCTACACATGGATGTTTCTAGGTCAGCTTTTAAAACTGAGTTAAGGTAATAAAAAACAAAATTTTATGCTCCACATTAAGACTCCATTGGTGTGTCTGAGCTTCTGCTCCCAAAAGGGCCACTAATAGATGAACTTCTCGTATTGCCAAGAACAAGCCTCTCTCGTCTTCCGAATGCTTCATTTACTACAACATAAATAGTTAAGAAATTACCAGATTAGAAAACCAGGAACCCATAATATAAAATATAGAGATGTAGAAATGAACAGTGTGGAAATTCTAGGAAAATAAATTTAACATTTTATAAATGGGAAATGAAATAAGTCCAAATTAACATTCTGAATGAGGTTAATCGTGTTTTAAATTAGTCTACCATTTAACCTGGTTTTATTTAATCTACCTTGATAAAGTGACTTTTTTCTTTCATCTTTCTATATCATAACCAGCAGAAAACTTGTTTTGGATTTAGAACCTTTGTTCTACATGGAAGATTCAGGAATCAGTGGAGCTACGTCTTCTGTGTTTATAGGACAAACCAGACTACCTCAAGGTAATAAATAAGCAGCCAGGTTCCCCTGAAGGGAGGGGAGCAGTCGCTTAAGGAAAGCTCGATTTTGAAGCAAGTAGCTGAGAAAAGGCAGGTTATTCACGCTGGGAAGGGGAGGACTGTTCTTAGAGACCACGTTATATTCCTTCCAGCTTTCCCATAAATTCAAATTTTGTCATAAATATTTTTTTTTTTAATAAAGATTTATTTATTTATTTGAGAGAGCGAGAATGAGAGAGAGTACATGAGAGGGGGGAGGGTCAGAGGGAGAAGCAGGCTCCTCGCTGAGCAGGGAGCCCGATGTGGGACTCAATCCTGGGACTCCAGGATCATGACCTGAGCTGAAGGCAGTTGCTTAACCAACTGAGCCACCCAGGCGCCCTGTCATAAATATTTTTAAAACGGTCTACATTTACATTGTGAAGACAAATTTGTGAACATGAACATCTCCAAATTACATGTGATCTTGTCTATTTCCCTAAGCAGACTACATTACGGGATGAACACTGGATCTACCTCGTGTATTCAAGCCACACATTTTTCTCATTTAGAAAAAGGGAATTAAGATTCTTACCTGATGAGACTGTGCTTATATCCCAGACCCGAAGCCCTTCTTTCTGACCTCCAAAGGCATAAATAAACGGCAAATCAGGACAACAGGAAGAACAGAACAGAACTCCCTAGGAAGAAGAAAACAGATGGTCAGTTTTTTCAGTCCTTCCAGAAAGCCCCAATCTAAACCCCTGCTCCTACCTACACAAACTTGAACCAACTCACCAGTACCTCTTTTAAGCCTCTTGCAAAGTAGTTCAGAATCAAGGTGGCAGGACCATTACCATAGACGAAGCCACACAAGTTCAGCACGATGGCCATTCCGTGAGGATGTGTGCACTCTGACTACTCAGGTCTCTAATCTGCTCAGTATTCCTAGAAACTTTTATTTTCCTTTTTAAGCAATGATGCTACTACAGGTCACCATTAAATGACTTTTTAAACTTGTAATTTTTTTGTTTATTACTAATACATATGCATTATAGAAAATATAAACAAACAGTGATTGTAAGATTTTTATACTTTTTCAGGTTTTGGGATAGGATATTCTAAATTTAAATATAAACATTTAAGCATTTTAATATAAGCTGGATATATAGTACTATATAATTGAGTCTGTAACTTACTTTCCCCATAAATATTTGTACACACAAACAGATGTGCAGTGTTCTACATATACAATTATACTAACTCAGTGCCTGGCATATAGTAGGTGCTCAATAAATATTTGCTAAATGAATTGTGGTTATTTCTAATTTTTTTTGCTACTACATAGTAATCCATTTCAGTGTAGTCAAAACTAGTTATGCAGAGGTAGTGACAGATAAACTGACCCTAACAGCTACAGTGCCCTAAAGGTCCAAACTTTCCTGGGATGGTCCTCAATTCAGGGTTAAAAAAGAAAGCCATGGCCATTCTGCTTAAGTCCTAGAAAATCCTCTTTCCACCCTTCTTACTAAACAACTGTTAATCATGTCAGGTGGGAGAGGAACCAGATAGGACAGTTTTAGAGGAAATCAATGACTAAGTCACAAACCTCTCACCAAATTTGACTAAGCTCAAAAATTCCTAGGGAAAGATGACAATACAGGTCAGAAACAGAAAAAAGCAGAAAAGAAAGATGCCGAGAGAAATTCTTACCATTTTCATGTCCCTAGAGTGAACCAGACTTGGCCTGTCTCCCAGTATGTCCCAGATCTTCACATATTTGTCTGCTGATGCTGTCACAAGACAGCCCTTGATCTGACTACTTAGATCAAGACCTAAAGGAAGAGAAGATTAGTTCAGACTCTGACATGCAGATTTACTTCATCATAAGTTAACAGAAATGAAACACTATTTGTGCTCACCAGAGATTTCATCGTTGTGTGCATTAAGTGTAAAAATTGGCTTATCTGAACGTGCATCCAAATTATATACAAAGCCGTCATCTGTACTAGCCTGGAAAGAGTAAAAGATGGGCAAGGTCACGCTACATGGCAATGAAATTTAGCAATGGGTAAAAAGTATAAATTATAGTGAAAACCAGCTATTTACCTGAGGAGCTTATTAAAAAATAACACGAAAAATTTACTTGGGTATAAGCGGACTTTGTTCCTGCGGGGACTGATGCAGCTGGTGTGTGTACCGTGCAGTGGGTATGAGGATGAAGCTCTGGTGGTGGTGCAGGCCAGGGTGAGAGATGTGCAAGCAGAGGTCAGATGCAAGGGAACAGAAGCCTGGGAAGCACAGCACTTAAGGTGCAGGCTGAGGAAGAGCTCACAGAAGAATCAGAGAGAGGGTATAACAAAGGACATCAGGGAAGCCAAGGAAACAGCGCTTCTGAAGAAAGCGATGAATGGTGTCAACATTTTGGTGGAAAGGTTTAATCAGATAAGGAAGGCAGATTATGGTGGGTTGTTACACTTCCAAGAAAGGGGAGGAAAGAAGGAACCAAGAGACAGACCTAGTCAAGGATGGGAGAGAGACTTGGGCCTGTGTGCTGGCTGAGGGCGACAGCCACGACAGGAAACAGGGAGGGGAAAAGGGGACAAGTGATACAGTCTTGACGGCTGGGCTGCGAAGGGGACAAAAACAGAAGAGGGCAGAGGTCTCATCCTAGGAGCCTGGAGCAAAGGAGGCAAACCATTTTATTGTAATCACTTCCCATTTTCTTAAATATTTGTGACTTTAGTACTAATGAAAACTTGTTAGCAAATAACTTCAGGAAATATGTGTGCCTGGGTGTTGAGAGCCAAAGTACAACCAACACAACATTCAAATACAACTGGGACTTCACTCTTGATCACCACGAAATGGAATCTGGCTTCAGGCCATGCAGCTGGGACCGGCACTGTACCTCTGAGCACAGAGATGAGATTAAATGTGCTCAGAATCATTGTTTCAGGAACCTTATTAAAACTGTCCACTTATTTTAAGAAAGCTGTTTTTCCCTCATTCATAAAGTACTACATATTTTACTTTAGGAAAATTAGGAAATTAATGGATGTATCTTTAATCTTCTTGATGAAAGCTGGGATTTTATTTCTCCATGGATTGAAAAGTCTGTGGAATCTTTGGATGCTACACAGAAAACTGTTATCCTACACATATTAAGGATATTTAAACAAAGAACTTAACACTTTTTCCTATCTGGGAGGCTGCTATAATATTAGTTAAATAGGCTAGCATTCTCATCACTGGAGCTCCATTTAATTTAAATAAAAGAGTATCTTCTTGGATGAACTTAACCATTAAAAAACATAGATTAGCTAAGCTTAATATTTCAAAGAAACACATTAATACAATCAAAATCAGTAACTAAAATGTGGCCCTTTGAAATGGCTGGAAATTAGCAAAATCATTTACATGTTAACCACCTGTAGCTGATCCATTGTTAGAAAAATTTTTTACTCTAAAATCTATTTCATGGTGTTAATACAGAAAAAGCGGGGCACTTGGTTGGCTCAGTTGGTAGAGCATGTGACTCTCGATCTCAGGGTTAGGAGTTCAAGGCCCATATTGGGTGTGGAGCCTACTCAAAAAACAACAACAAAAAAAACCAATAACAAACAAAAAAAACCCAAAAACCAAAACCAAAAAAAAACAAAACAGGGGCGCCTGGGTGGCTCAGTCGTTAAAGCGTCTGCCTTCGGCTCAGGTCATGATCTCAGGGTCCTGGGATCGAGCCCCACGTGGGGGGCTCCCTGCTCGGCGGGAAGTCTGCTTCTCCCTCTCTCACTCCCCCTGCTTGTGTTCCCTCTCTCGCTGTTTCTATCAAATAAATAAAATCTTAATAAAAAATAAAATAAAAAAAATAAATCAGTGATTCAGGCCTGCATGCTAATGCAGCATTAAAAAATAAATAAATAAAACAAAAAAACCCCCCAACCCTCCCCCAAAACAAACAAACCACCATCAGAAAAAGCTTTTCAGAGATTCTCTCTACAATGGAGTTAGAGCAAGTCATTAGTAACCTAGATAAGCAAAACAGTAGTATGTAGTCTTACCAAAAAATGACAAGGTGAAAAGTGATTCCAAGTCACTCTCTCAATCTGCCCGCTGAATCGCCACATTCGATGGCTTTCATCTGGACTTCGGCAGTCATACAAAGCCACTGACCTGGACACAGATAGGCCAAGTTAGGGTTTTAAGAGTTCAATTCTTCTATATGTTTTACGTTTATTTATAATGAAATGGTAACAAAACAACACTGTGAATTCAAGATCCAATTATTTAAAGCCTATTTTAAGGTTCTAAAAGTAGAAGAGAGGAGTTGACTTTCATTAACTGGTGGACTCTGGTTCTGTCACTTGAAGGCACTGGTGACTCTGGATATCACAGCAGCCTTGACCGTCTCTAGGCTGAGTCCTCAACTTACAAGATGAATCCTCTCTATTTCCAAAAATCCAGGACAACTTTGAATTTTCCTGTTCGCAGCAGTGCTCAGAGCCAGATAATTCATGTCTTAGCTACATTTACTCTCCACAGGCAGGTTATTGTGTTGGGGGAGCCAAGAGAAGATGTTTATAATTCTGAATGAATCCCAACTAAAAAATATAAACCTATATCACTCTTCAAAAGAGTAAGGAATGAAAATAAAGACTGCAAGTTGGTTTCTGCTTCCACTACCTCTCTCTCCCACCTTCAGACCCAATCTGTAAAAAGATGCACATGCATGACTGGAAACCCCCTGTGATGGACTGTAATGGGTCTAATTCCTCACCTCTCCCTATATCCACACCCCCTGTCAGGAATGTAGGAATTCTTTCATAAAGGCAGTCTGTTTCCCACTCCATGTTATCTGTTTCGGCCCAGAACGTAAGACAGACGTGTACTAGTTCTGAGCCTAGGTCTCAAGAGGCTTTGGTATCTCTGCGTAAGCTTCTGACCTCTCCATGAGAACATGTGTGGGCTAGTCCACAGGTTCCATGAGGATGTGAAACAAGGAGAGCCAAATCTCCAAAGCCCCACCAAAACAAGCCAAGATCAGACCTACCAGTTGAATCTAGCCTAGATTAGCTTAATCTTGAAGTGGCATAAGAAATGTTTATTGTTTTAAGTCACTGAATTTTGGGACAGCCTGTTCCATAGCAATGGCTTACTCCTATGGCCTCTAAAAAGCAAAGTAGTTGCTAGTTAGGAACTACATTATTACGACAGAACCACATTCCCTTGCAGACTGAAAGGACAAAGCTGAAAGGGACAAGTAAGTATTACCAGAAGTTTAAGCACTCAGTATTATATTCTATCTGAGCATCAAGTGATACTTTCTGAATTAGGAGACAAAAACAGCAGCAGTGATTCCTGCAGTGTTTTCTTACTTATCATAGGATCCAGAAATCAGAGTCTGTGCTTCAAATGGATGAAACTGCAGAGTCTGGACCTAATAGGAGAAAACATAAATGAACAGATCTATGTTTGTTTGGTTTTGGTAAAACTGCTTAGTACTTAATCAAGAGAATCAATTTGGCAGTTTTTATAAATTTTTCCCTTTGAAATTCAGTACTATTTAAAGAAACAAATGTATTACATAATCAAAAGGACAAAACATTTTCAAATGGGGCGCCTGGGTGACTCAGTTGGTTAAGCGTCTGCCTTCAGCTCAGGTCATGATCCAAGGGTCCTGGAATTGAGCCCCGCATTGGGCTCCCTGCTCCATGGGGAGACTGCTTCTCCATGGGCCTCTCTCTCTCTAAAACTCTGTCTCTCATGAATAAATAAATAAAATCTTAAAAAAAACAACCAAAAAAAAATCCTCAATGCAGCATTTCTCAAGTCATGGTTGGCAAAATATCTATGTCCCTCAAATGTTAAATATACTGAGAACAAAAAAGGGAGCAGTCAAACTTACTGGGCAACTCTACATACTCTGAAGTCCCACAATGTACACCAGCACATCTGATCCCTGAGTTCTGCAATAACAGATCTGTTAAATTCTTTAACCTCATCTGGTGACCGACACCCCTGTCTCTTTATGGGTCTCTGTAAACATGCAACAAAATACTAATGTTTCCAGTCACTTCATCTGTCTCCACATTTGCATCTCTAAAATGGGTAATTCTAACTATCATACAGGGTTCTGTGAGGATCCAGTAAGACAGCATGTCAAAACACTTTGTAATTCATAAAAAGCCATATATAAATGTTTGGGATTATTGTAGCCAACATTTGTCCCATATTTTTTAGAATCCCTTTTATCTACCACTCAATCACCATACCTTGTCTGTGTGTACAGCAAGGCTAGCTGCTGGTTTCCCTAAGGACATATCCCACAGAATTACAGTGTTGTCAGCTGATGCACTTGCCAGCACGTTTCTGAGAAAGGGAGGAGACAAATTAGGTAATTGTTTTTAAAGTCAAGAGCACTAAATGTAAGAATTCCATTTTCTATAACATCAAAAGGAATAAAATACTTAAAAATAAATTTAACAAAAGCATTCAAGATTTATATATTGAAAACTACAAAAGAAAGAAAGATTATCTGAATGAATGGAAAGATATCTCATGTTCACGGATTGGAAGATTTTTTTTTTTAAAGATTTATTTAATTATTTAAGTAATCTCTACACCCAATGTGGGGCTCAAACTCATGACCCTGAGATTAAGAGTTGCATGCTCCACCAACTGAGCCATCCAGGTGCCCTGATTTAATGTTAAGACAGAAATACTGCCATCTACAGACTGATCTAAAGATTCAACCAATCCCTTTCAAAACCCCTGCAGACTTTTTTTTTTGCAGAGAATGGACAAGCTGGTTTTAAAATTCATATGGGGGGTTCCTGGGTTGCTCAGTCGGTTGGGTATCCGACTTTTGGTTCTGGCTCAGGCTGTGATCTCACGGGTCATGGGATCGAGCCCCTCATCAGACTCTGTGCTTGGTGTGAATCTGGGATTCATTTTCCTTCTCCCTCTGCCCCACCTACTCATGCGCACTCTAAAATAAATAAATAAATCTTTTAAGAAAATTCGTATGAAAGGGACTCAAATCGGCCAACATAATCTTGGAAAACAGAAAAGTTGAAAAGTTCACAGTTTGGATTTCAAAATGGACTGAAAAGCCGCAATAATCCTAACAATGTAGTACTGGCTTAAGGACAGACATACCGGTTAACAGAACAGAATGAAGAATAAATCCTTTGTCATTTGTTTCTGACAACGATGTTAAGATTATTCACGGTTCAAGAACAGTATTTTCAACAAATGGTTCAGGGACAACTGGATACCCTCATGCAAAAGAATGAAGTTAGACCTCTAACTCATACTACCTCAAAATAGATCATGGATGGACCTACTAATGTAAGAGCTAAAACTATTAAACTCTCAGAAGAAAACAGGTATAAATCTTTGTGACCCTGGGTTAGGCAATGGTGTCTAAGGTATGACACGAAAAGCCTAAGAAACAAAAGACATAAATGAACCAGACATCATCAACATGAAAAACTTGTATTGCAAATGAGATCATCAAGAAAGTGAAAAGACAATCCACAGAACGGGAGAAAATTATCTGTAAGTCATATGTCTGATAAAGGACTTGATTCTAGAATAAAGAACTCTCAACTAAATAATAAAAAGACAACCCAATCAGAAGATGGGCAAAGACATATGAATGGACATTTCTCTAAAGAAGATCTATAATTAGCCAATGAGCATGTGAAAAGTTGTTCATTAGGGAAATGAAAATGAAAATGTGGGATACCACTTCCCACTCATGGAACAGCTATAATGAAAAACACAAACAATAATAAGTGCTAGCAAAACAGAAAAATTAGCTACCTTGCTTGTGGGAATGGAAATGGTATAGACTACTACCATATGGCCTAGCAATTACACTCTTAGGTATATATCCTAGAAAATGAAAACATAGGTCTGTGTAAAAATCTGCTCATGAATGTTTACAGTAGCATTATTCATAATAGGCAAAAAACCCCCACAAACCAAACATCTATTAACTGGTGAATAGATACACAAAATATAGTATATCCATTCAAGCAATAAAAAGGAATGATGTACTAATAAATACTACAATAGGATGGACTTTGGAAACATACAAAAGTGACAGAACCCAGACACAGGCGGCCACATATTTTATGATTCCATTTCTAGAAATGTCCACATAGTCAAATCCATAGAGACAGAAAAAAGATTAGTGGTTGTCAGGCACTGGAAGGACAGGAGAATAAGAAATGCCTGCTTATAGTATGGATTGCTTTTTGGTTTGATGAAAATGTTATAGAATTAGACAGTGGAGATAGTTGTACAATTTTGGGAATACACCCCAAGTCACTTTAAAGACTGAATTTTATGACGTGATTTTATATATCAACTTTTTTTAAATAAAAAAAGGTCATTAAATGCTATTAATAGGGAAAAACAATATGCCTACCTCTTAGGTATCAAGTGCTAATAATGTCATTCTACAAGAGAACACAGGCCTTAGAGCCCAGAAAACCTGAAATGGATTCCTGGTGCTACTATTTATTAGTTGTAAGTCTTAAAAGTCAGTCTCACTTCCTTGCCTGCCAATGAGAATGCTACAACCAACTTCAAAGGGTTACAACTCAAGTTCATGGCTGAGTGACCAGAATATTGTAGGCCCCTGATAAATGTTATTTGCCTGCCTTTTCTCCTTGTAACTGAAAGCTCATTCTTCAATATCTGGTTTGAAATGGCTCGATACAGAATTAAGTCATTACTAGGAGTAATATTTGCCCAGAAAACCAATATCCTATTAAAATGTCGATGGGTTCATCTTTGGATATTATTTCCTTAAGAAATACTTCCATTATACAAACTGCTTTCAGTTTTATAACTTACATTTCAGTGACACAGGTAGGGTCTCTTAAGGGGATCATGGATATTCTTTTTTTCTAATCAATGAATTTCAAACTTCTATGATTAAGTCCCATATACAAGTCATTAATGTTTTAAGTCCTTGGCATGTCACAGATTTAAATGTTACTTAAATTCCCAATATTTTATTTATATTCAATGCCTGCCAACAGCAAAAAGTTAAAATTTCATGGTACATTTTTCACCCTAGTCCTTCCCCGAACATCTGAGATTCCTTTCATATTAAAATTCTTACTGTATGAGGCTTAAAATTAAATTACCCCCTCCCCCCAACTCCTGAATGCTATACTCCCAAGAAGAGCACTACAATAGGAGTATGAATGAGCAAAGAACATGCATTTTGTTACTGGGAGCATTTTACGAGAAACCAAGGTCCCAAGGTCCCAAGGTCCCCAACTAGTAACAACGTCAACATGTCATTCTTCACCATGATCCCAAACTCTCTGTACCAGGGCATGTATGCAAAGTATTTAAAAGCATTCTGTACCTTTTCAGTAAAGAAAGGGGAAAAGAGAACCAAGGTCTGTAGTAAGATGGAGAAAGTAGAAGAGTTAAGGAACGAAGACACATGTGGCCCTGCAGTCAAGGAGACGTGAGGGCAGACGGGGCGGGACAGGGGTACTAGTGCCTCCACAGAGCTAGGGACTGTGGCTGGGGAAAGGCACTGCTGAATCTGCTGCAATTGATGAGGGGCTGTTCCATCAGAACAAACTCAAGTTACTCAAATTAACAGCTGCTATGTGATAAGAATTTAGCATGTGTCATTTACTCTCACAGTGCAGATTTGTAAACGACTGGGCTCCTAAAAGTAGGGCACACTCATATTCGATCTCTTATTCGTCTGCCCGTTAGTTAGGAACGGGCCCAATGCAGACAAAACCAGGAGAAGCTTTAAAAAACAAAACAACACAACAGATTCTTGGGCCCTTGCTCCAGATGTGACTCAATCTCGAAGGGATTAGAGCCCAGGAACTTGCACTTTATTTTTTGTTTTTTTAAAAATATTTTTTAAGTAATCTCTACACCCAATGTGGGGCTTGAACTCACAACCCTGAGATCAAGAGTCGCATACTCTACGAATGAGCCAGCCAGGTGCCCCTCACCAAATGGTTCTAACGCTGAAGAGGTTTGAACACAAACAAGAAGACAGGATATCCCTAGGTAAGCCGGCTGGCTGGGATCCTCCTTAGAGTGCTCACAATTACAAAGTATCCTGTGTAACAGAGATGTTAAGAAAATGTGCCTTGGGCAATCCAGTTTATTCTTACAGCTCAAGTAAGCTCAACCTAATGCTTACCTTCCTTGCCTTCGAAGCCCCTTAAACCAACTACGCTATTAGGAAAATGGCCTTCTGGGGTAATTGTTGTTTAAGGATCAGCATAAAGAATATGTGGATGACACATGCAAAAGAATGAAGTGGAACTCTTACCTTATACTGTTTACAAAAGTTAACTCAGAATGGATCAAACACCTAAACGTAAGAGCTAAGACAGTAAAAACTCTTAAGGGAAGAACCTCATGACAAGGATTTGGCAATGATTTCTTGGATATAACATTAAACACACAGGCAACAAAAGTGAAAATTAATCGACATCAAAATTAAAAACTTATGTGCATCCAAGGACACTATCAAGAGAGTTAAAGGTGATCCACCAGATGGGGAAAAATATTTGCAAATCGCCTATCTGATGAGAGATTATATCCGGAATATATAAAGAACTACAACTCAATGAAAAACCAAAAAACTCAATTCGAAAATGGACAAAGGACTTACACATTTCTCCCAAGATATATACAAATGGGCCAACTGGCACCTGAAACGTGCTCCTCAAAATGGTAAACACAGAACTGCTATATGAGCCAGCAATTTCACTTTTGAGAATATACTCAAAAGAACTGAAAGCCGGGACTTAAGACCGATATTTGTACATCAATGTGCATAACAGCAGCATCGCTTACAATAGTCAGTAGGTGGAAACACAGATGTTCATCAACAGATGGATAAACAAAATGTGGGCTTCCCAAACAATCCTGTCACATGCTACAATACATGGATGACCTTGTGCTAAGTGAATAAGCCAGTCACAAAAGGGCAGATACTATATAATCCGACCTATATGAACTAACTGGAAGGGTCGATTCACAGAGACACAAAGCAGGTTACTGGGCCCGGGGGTGCCGAGAATGGCAAGTTATTGTTTAATGTATACAGAGTTTCACTTCTGGAAGATGACAAGTTCTGCAGTTGGATGGTGGTGATGGTTGCACAACAACGTCCCCTGAACTATACACTTAAAAATAGCTGAAGTGCTCACTATTATGTATATTTTACCACAATTAAATCAATTTAAAAAATGTGGATGAAATTTTGTGCAAACTAAATGAGTGAGAGAAATGTCTTCCATGAAAAGAACGACAATTCGGCACCACCGGCTCTGGAGCAGTGCTTCCCCAGTGGCGTCGGGGGGGCACTGGTCACCAGATACGTAACGAGCCCGAGCCCCTACAGAGCTCAGAGCTGGCAGGTGCCGTGGGGGCTGCAAGGACACAGACAGCAAAGCTCCTGCCTTCAAGCGGCATGTACTGCAGGACAGGGGAAGAAGGCGCAGACACAGAGACCCCCGACACACAACACAGAGACAGGTGCAAGGCATGAGGTGAGATGACAGTGGGTATATAGTCTCTAACAACCCTCCAAATGTTATTTCTTTTTACCTGATCAGCTTATTCCAGGAAAGGTCCAGGACAGCATCAGTATGCCCCTCTGCTGAGGAACTCTGTAATAATTGTTTCATTACTGTTTGTATTAAAGTGACCCCTGTAACTGATGTTCATTTGAAAGATTCTTTAAATCTTAAGATTATTGTTTGATCTTAAGCAAACTTGCTTGAAGACCTACAGAAAGAAATACCTTGTCTTCCTGTTACTTTAGGAATCTATGATAAATACTCTTTACAGAAGAGAAACTACAGTAGTTCTTTATCTAGGTGGGACGGTTCTATAAATATCAACCCCCACCCCAAAGTTAAGTCTTAAAAGCTACAGGAATTAATACATGGATATTTAGAATTCAACATACTAAAGACTTAAACAGAATTTTTTCTAAAATTCAAAGAAGCCTATTAGTGTGAATAGTTACTATTATCAAAAAGGATCATAACCTGAGAGTAAATGGTTTGTGTAAGGACGAAAAATGTGCCAATGGAAGTTTTGTGCAATCAGCGATCAATTTTTCCTTGGATGAGCCTTTTGAAACTAGAAACTACAATAACTTCATAACTATCTGTCCTGTTCCACCAAAGTGTCTAACTGACAAAGTATATGTTCTCCTTCCTCCACCCCACCAGTAAACTTCTCTGTCATTAGAGTTTAAGTAATCATTAACTTGTTTACCTTCTTTCCTTTCTTTTTCTTCTTTTTTGATAGCTTACTTCCAAGTGTGAAGACTGGTTCTAAAGAGTCCACAATATCAAGGTCCCACACTTCAATAACAGGGGTCATATTTCCCACAGCAATATAATTTCCTACAGGAGGAAATGAGGTATTTGATTTAAAAAATTTCTAATGAGAAATATTGCACTGTAGATTGAGTAATGTCTTAGAGCACTTTCTCTCAAACTTTCACATGCATGCGTTATCACCTGAATATTGTTTAAATGCATATTCTGTTTCAGGGGTCTTGAGTGCACCCCTACATCTGCATTTCTGACCAGTTCCCAGGTGATGCCAATACTGTGCTGCTGGTCCTTGGACCATAATTTGAATAACAAGGGCTCAGTCTTTTGGCCCCAGGGGCCCTACTTAGGTTCTGAGAACAAAAACCATCTTCCACCTTCACTAGTGTCGTGAAAATGAGGACTGAATCAGAACATGCATGTGAATAAGCTTGGCAAACGAGACATAAAGTATGAGTATTACCAGGTTTTACCTTTATTAAGAAGTAGGACGGGGCACCTAAGTAGTGTGCAGCTGTGGCTAGAACAACTAACACAGGAACGTACTTCTCCATTTTGGTTTTACTTGATGTTTCCTAAGAAAGGTCATGCTACTTTATACTGGGTTTTTATGAGGACTTCACACAGTTTGGCAACCCCTAATGCTGTCAGCCTGTTCTGCCTACAGCAGGGCAGCTACCTCTTTATCTGAAGCCTGGAGACACACAGACTCAAAACAATTACGTGATTGTGTTTTAAGAACTATGTAACTTCATAAAATAACAATTTCATTAAAAAAATCAACAATTCTGAAAACATTCATACAGAATACATAACTTATGTGGCTAGGAATAACATACAGGACTAGGAACCACTGCGCCATCTAAGCTTTTCTAATTACCTGTAGAATCATCTGGGCTAGGATCAAAATTCAGCCATTCCACGCTTAGAGGGTATGCAGACAGCAGTATATCATGATGCACATAAAAGGAATCTTCTTCCTGATTATAAACTGAAAATATTGGGAAGAGACTTTATTGAGTCGGAATAAGAAATCACATCCCACTGAAAAGGACAGACTCTCCCTGTTAAACCCATAGGAGCCGATGTGCTCGAGACACATTTGATGGCATCAAAAGGAGCCTCCAGGGCGCCTGGGTGGCTCAGTTGGTTAAGCGACTGCCTTCGGCTCAGGTCATGATCCTGGAGTCCCGGGATCGAGTCCCGCATCGGGCTC